TATTTTATTTATACTGTATATCTTACAAACTCTTTGCAAACAGAGTGGTACAGCAGTGGTGTATATTATCTGACAGAAACCATAGCAGATATTTTAAAGACATCCATAAGCGCAGCATTTTCTGCAATAATATTGTATTTCATGACTAATCAACCGAATGAAGCAAAAAGATTTTGGCGTTATTTTGGTCTCTTTCAGATCAATCAGCACTCAATGGACGCATTTGGACACCTGATGGCAATCCTATTGTTCCGCAATCAACTTATCTGCATATTTCTAACCACAATGATAACTATACTAATGGCACCACTAAGCAATTTCTTTATTAAAGCCTACGATATGATAGATATCTTTAAAGTGTTTAGCAATTTGTCGGTTTTAAAATATGTTGCCAACGGTGTGCTTATAACGCTGTTTGGGTTTAACCGGTGCCCCGAACCAACATTTTCCCGAAACCTTTACCAGATTAAACTCGATGGCGATAGTAGTGACCTATTTTTAAAACAAATAGTTGTTTGTTTGTCCCAATTGGTTACATACAGACTCATGAGTTTATTAATTTTAGTTTTACAAAAGAATCCATTCATTTGGGAATTCTTTTCTAATTATATTAAAACAAAACTTTCAAAACAAGTCAAGAAAGAAATACAATTGCAAACCATATCCCAAAGTGTGCCACAAATGCAAACTAATGATGAGCTCAACTCAAGTGTCGGACCCCTTGAAGAGCCGAGTATTTCTTCAAATGATAACTTTTTCTATGAATGTAATCAAGAGTTTGATTGCGAGAGAAGTGACAGAAGACTGAGTATAGCGTGGATTGACTTCACGATGAAAGTGGAGAAGAGTTTGTATTCAAACTCAAAGCTAATCCTCAGAGGAATCCAAGGATTCATTGAATTCGGATCTTTGAATGCATTGATGGGTCCGTCGGGTGCGGGAAAGACATCTCTATTGCGATCACTGAACGGAATGAACAGAACTCTTGTGACCAAAGAGTCGGAAATCTATTTGAGTAAAGACACGACTATTAGGACGTGTTTTATAGCTCAGGACCAAAGGGAACACCTAATCAGTGGGTTGACTGTGAGACAGGCCATCATTTATGCGTCAAAACTGAAGAACGAGTCAAACATTGGAGTGAATCACGAGATGAATGGCTCGGAACTGATGGACGAGTTGGCCATAAGTGACATCCAGTCCTCATATGTGGAGAAATGCAGTTCAGGTCAACAGAAACGGGTTGTAATGGCAATGGAATTGACGCCACATTTGAAACCAAACCTCATTTGTGTTGACGAACCGACTTCTGGGGTCGACTCGTATTCAGCATTTTTGGTACATTTCCTCTCAATTGTCACTTATTTTCTCAAAATATCATTAAATCATTAATTCATTCATTACCACAACAGATGATTCAGTGCTTTAAACGGTTGTCCCAAAAGCACAACCTATCCATCATCTCATCCATACATCAGCCAAACCTCGAGATTCTCATGTTATTCGATATGTTGTATATCTTAGCCAAAGGAGGAGTTCCTGTATATTCCGGTCGACCACAGCATCTGAGGAGACATTTGAGTGAATGTCATATCATTTGCAGTGAAAAGCAAATCCCAATTGAGTTGATAATGAAAATAGCGTCCAATGGTTTCAACGACCAAACAGTCATTGAATTGTCAAATAAGACAAACGAAGACATGAAGGCATACACGAGTCGAATGAATAGCCAACTCATGCTCTTTACAAACGGTATTCCCATTAAAACAAAAGGGTTTTCCTTTCAACAGGTTTGGCACCTATTCATGCGATCCCTTACATACACCGTTCAATACAACTGGAAGACTATTGTCATTCAGTTTTTACTCAACATAATTGTGGCCACATTTTTGATGATCTTATTTGACTTTGATTTGGACAGACCTACCAGTTGTCAATCGATAAACACTGAATTTTGTAGTCAAAATGGCGAAACTATTGAAGATAACAAAATTATTAATTATAGCATTTCTTATCTTATATTTTTAATAGCTTATATCGAATTTTCCACAATTCTTATTACTTCACTCACATTCACCACTGAATTCAAAGTTTTTCTCATGGAATACAAGAATTGTAACAAATATAATACTTTTGACTATATAATTGTATAGATTATTATAATTTAAATACTTTTATTATTTGCTTTATCTATATAGATTGGTACAGCCCAGAAGCTTATTTTATAGTTAAAAGCACATTAGACATCATACCAACCATTATCACTAGTATAGCCTTTTGCAAAATTGTTGACAATTATAACAGGGACGATTCATTTGCAAATATATTACTAGTATTTACACTGCAATTCCTTTCGTATCAAAGTTGTGGTCATATATTAGGCATTATATTCGAGGAGAACTGCACACAATTTGCTATATTAATAGCGGCCGTACTTTTACTTTTTTCAAATATATCCCTACCCGCTCAAGAATTACCATCATTTATATTCAAAATGACCAATATGGTGCCTGCTAAGGTTTCAATGGACTATATTGTTGTCTATTTGTATGGTGAGCACCGATGTCCTCAAGGATATGTGTCATCCGTTTTATATCACTTCCAACTGAAGGACGATATGCTGGACATGTTGTGGAAGACATTAGTACTTCAATTGGTTTTCTATAGAGTTATGACATACCTGTGTCTTAAGCTGAAAGTCAATTGGGTATACATTGAGTTATCAATGATAAAGATTAAGAATTATATTATTAAACAATTCATATAATATATTAGAATTACAATTGGCTGAATCTAATAAATCATTTATTAAACTATTTATTTATAATTTATTAGGTATACATTGAGTTATCAATGATAAAGATTAAGAATTATATTATTAAACAATTCATATAATATATTAGAATTACAATTGGCTGAATCTAATAAATCATTTATTAAACTATTTATTTATAATTTATTAATTAAATTTTTTGAAAAGACTAGTGTTTCCTGACTTTGATTACAAACTTTCTGATGTCATCGCAAATTATATTCATATTATATCCCAGTATCAGCAAAATTATTATAACATATTTTATTACATTAACGAACCATTAATTTAAAGTTTAAAAAGATATAATTGAGTGAAATTGGCGGCACTAGAATGTCCCGGACTCATTACATTACAATCATTTCATAAAATATTTTCAAATTAAATATTAATAGCCGCCTTAATTAAATTATTTTAATATTCAGAAGTTAATTTTTTGAAAATAAATGATGAACCCATAATAATTAGTAATTCAAGGCTAATTTTATTTGTATTAATTTTTTAAAACAAAATAATTTCTAACATTAAGTATTATATTCATAATTATGTCTATAAAAACAATCTCTAATCACTGTTTCGTATTTTTCAACTTGTCTTTTGTGGACAATTCAATGTCTAAAACAGTTGTGACAAATGTCTTGATGTCATCGCAAACCAGTTGGGGCTCCTCGAAGGCGGCGAAGTGTCCCCCTCGAGGCATATCTGTGTACTGAACCAAATTGGGTAGTGTTCTCCGCAACAGGGCTTTGGGCGCGTGACCCAACTCGTTGGGGAAGTCAGCCACGGCTGAGGGCACCGACACCGGGATTCTGGTATCGAGTTCAGTGTATTAAGTATTAAATTCAGTTAAATTTTATTTTAAAATAACTAACTTGTTCATGTCGTCCATCATAAGGCCGGCATTTTCCTTATAGTAGCGCATACTTGAGGCCACATTATTGGACACCCAGTAGATCATGATATTTGTGAGCAACTCGTCTAAAGTAAACTTTTGGGTGAGTCCGCCGTCGGCTTTATTCAGCCATTTGGGTTCAGTCCACGTCGAGAACTTCTCCAATATATAAGCGGCCAGACCTACGGGGCTGTCCATGAGTGCGGCGCCCACTGTATCCGGTTTAGTGGCCTGAAACCGCCGTCGGCTTTATTCAGCCATTTGGGTTCAGTCCACGTCGAGAACTTCTCCAATATATAAGCGGCCAGACCTACGGGGCTGTCCATGAGTGCGGCGCCCACTGTATCCGGTTTAGTGGCCTGAATGTGGAAGTATCCCGACTCTCGTAATATCATATAAAAGTTATCTAAAAATGGAAACAATTTCTTGTGATCCCTTTCCGGGTCGTCAAACACAAGGGCCGGGAAATAGGAGCCTAACATCATCTTCGCGATAGTGGGCCCGTCGTATACCAGGGGAGCCATTGTTATATGCATTCCTCGCACACTATATCATAGATCATACGATAAGACACCACTTATTGACTGTTATGAATGAGTGATTTACTTGTTTGGGTACAACTGAGCCATGGTTTTGGACACAAAACTACCCCAATCTCCTCCGTGAACGAAGAATCTCTTGTGGTTCAAGCGGTTCATGAGTTTTACGAAAATTCTCGCCGTTTCCATAACATTGAAGCCTACATTCAATTCAAAGTTAACCATTAGTTTTCGTATGCCATAAGACAACTGTCATCAGCCATACCCTCCTGATGCGGTGCCTCCGAGAAGCCATAGCCAGGTATTGACGGAACAATCACTTCGAACGCCACACCATTTGTGGGTTCAATTAGCAGTGGGATTGACTTGTAGTACTCCCAAACTGATCCAGGCCAACCGTGAGTTATCTGAAGTGTTAATTATATGTCAATTAAAAGTATTATCTTATGTTTTATGGCAAACCAGTAGAGGAACGACAGTTTTGGCCGGTTTGGATGGCTTCACGTGAATGAAGTGAACATCGATGCCATGGATCCGAGTCTTGAATTGCGGGAATTGATTCAATATCGTCTCAGTCTTACGCCAATCGTATGTATTCCTCCAATAGGCGATCACTTTCTTGAGATAATCGCTATTAAAGCCGTAATTAAAAGCTGTTCCGGCGATGGGCTCCACATATCGGGCCGACTCCAGCCGTCTCTTCAAGTCTGTCAACACATCTTCGGACACATTCACCACAAACTTGTCGATAGCGACCGACTCTTTGGGAAAGGCTTCTCCACCTGTTTTTAGGCATTCAATGCAAACAGTTATCCAATGCTAGCATTCATTCATTACTTACTCTTGAGTGAAGTTTTGCCAAACCATTTATCCTTAAGTTCAGGCAATTTGTGTTGAGGTGTGACCACCAATGGGTAGATCACAGCACCGATACCCACCACCACTCCGATCAGCAATAACTTCTTAATGACACCCATTTGCTAGTGATTTGTTAGTAACTGTTATAATTGTAATGAATTTTGTGTAACTATTTAGATGTTTATGATGTCTATTACTGTTAGGCAACACTTGTCTGTCACACACACTGTTTGTCACACTTTTAACTAGTAATGCAAATAATAAAATAAATTTATTTTCCGTCGTCTACTATAATGAATAGCCAATTGTGTGCAATGCACTGACAAGTATAGTGTGTCCTTGAGTACTTTGCTAACACATTGCACTTAAACAGTGCATTAGGTTTGTTAGGAAAAAAATTTATTTTCCGTCGTCTACTATAATGAATAGCCAATTGTGTGCAATGCACTGACAAGTATAGTGTGTCCTTGAGTACTTTGCTAACACATTGCACTTAAACAGTGCATTAGGTTTGTTAGGAAAAAAAGTTGATGTAATCCAGTGTTAACTACAGGTTTGTATGATATTTTAAAATTTAAATCATTTTCTATGCGCTATAACTCGCATATACTGTACAACCCTTCAAACTTATATAAGTTTACAGTTAATGCAACTTATATTCAAATACCTGTTTATAACTTATATAATCCGCAGACAATAAGTCTTGTATTTGCATACTATTGTCTATTAATAGTGCCACTGATAGCAAAAGTAAATATTGTTCATAAAAACTAGTTATTTTTATATTGAGATATTTACTGCTGGATCATAAACTATTTATTTAATATTTTATAAAACTTTTTCTTAGATTTCATAATTTGATAACAACTTAAATGTTAGTGCATTCAGTTCACTCTATCCTGGTGATAGTGAGAAAATGTATACAGTTCAACTAAAATTATATTTGACATTTGCCAACTTTCTACCAATACTATCAAATATAGTTTTGCAAAATGTGATATTGAATGTCATGTATTTTATTATATTGAATAGTAAACCAGTATGTAATTGTCATAAAAAATTTATAAATTATAAATATC